GCTCCACACCAACAAAAGAAATGTTGTGATGAAAATATATACAAAATACATGTATTCGAGATTTACACAGGCTTTCGTTACAATTCACATTCTAACTTAATCTACCGAATCAAGGGCCCCACCGTGTATCTGAAAAGAGGCAGGGTCTAAAGAAGGGGCATGGTCTAAAAAGGTGCTTAGCCATAAGACGAGACATGGGGTCCTAATACAGGAAGTGATGGGGCCAAAAAACAGGAAGGGGTGGGGTCTACTCAAGGAGTGAGGAAAAATACAGGAAGAGGTGGGGTCTTATCAATAAGGGGTGGGGTCTAAAGAGGGATGGGCCTACAGAGGTTGGATTTCCTTGTTGATTTAAGGTAATAAAAACATAACATCTAAATACATGCAGTGGGTAGCAGCATACCTTTAGTGCCACAGATGCGGCCACAGGGCAACGAGTAATAATTATTTGTTGACAGAGCGCCTCTTATGCTTGAGGCATCTCATATCAACAAATTAATGAAGTCATGTGCAGTGTATGTGTAATGCGGGCGTAAATGGGCGGGGCGGATATGACGATCCGAGAGGGAGGAGTCAGGGTGACGTGGGGGAGAAGTTATAGCGGGGAGACAGGAAGCTATCGGGGTCAGTCGGGGGAGTGAAGGGTGGTGAACACGTTAGGGTGGTCGCCGTGCCTCAGCCTGGTGGCTGAGGGGCTCATGACGGCGCCAGCCAGCGGGGTGGAAGAGAGAGTGGAGGATTGAGGTAGGAAGTGGCGAGATAGCCACAGAGGCCACGAAGGGCTGAGGTAGGAAATGGCGAGATAGCCACAGAGGCCACGAAGGGCTGAGGTAGGAAATGGCGAGATAGCCATAGAGGCCACGAAGGGCTGACATTGGGAGGTGGCGAGATCGCCACGCACGGAGGAACAGGGAGCAGAGATGGAGCTGCTGGGGGAGCAGCCAGAGGGCTGTACCAAGAGCCTGCAGCGGAGCTGCAGGAGCGTGGAAGGCTACGGGAGCGAAGGCAGATGTGGGGCTGCCAGGGAGAGAGTCTCAGGAGGAGTGCCGTGTGGGAAGGAGAACGCGAACCCCAAATAAAGGACACGGAGTCAGCAAGAAGTGTCTGAGTCCTTTTATTACACTGGAGTCAGAAGTGAAACGGCATCTCAAAACAACTGAGAGAAAGAAGAAAAAAAAATATTCCTGCTACATCATCCGACGACGACGACCTTCCTCAGACAGTGGACCTGCCTGCGATTGAAGAGGAGATCCGTTCTGGAACGAGTACGGGTCCGGGTGAGCAAGGTGTCGCCGCGTCGGTGGACCTGTCTGTGCCGGAGGATGCCAACTTACGATGGAGACAGATGGTGATGCAGATGGGGACCTTGAAAATCGTGCTGGCGCGACTGTGTGAGTTCACCACGCCGAGGACGACGTCGGGGAGGCCCGGTGGTGATCCGCAGGCCTCTGCCTTTCCTGCGCTGCCAGCGCCATTGCCACGTGGCACGAAGACGCCATCTTGGGCGTGGCAGGGGAGAAACGGCGGGAAGCCGCCATCTTGTCTTCACCGCGGCGGGAGGACGCCGCCATCTTCAACATCGCGGCGGAGAGCCAGCCTTGCGCTGCCATCTGGAGGTGCCGCGGGGTGAGCAGCCTGCTGTGAGCTGCTGTTTTTCGAGGGGGTGCTGCGAGGAGAAGACGCCGATGCTGCAGCTGCTGGGGCGGGAGCTTCCCGTCCTGGTTCGGGTGCGTGACAACGGAGCCGTCAAGTCGCCGAACGAGTTCTGCGAGGCGTCTCAAGTTGCCACCCTGCCGTCCTCTTCTTGCTGCAGCCCCGGGCGAGTCATAACGATACGCACCCGGCCTTAACACACACCTCACTCATCTTTCGAGGGCCGGGGGGGGGGCTATTTTGGTTTTCTCTTATGACTCGATTGTGCGGAGCGCGGTTCGGACTGTCTGTATGTGTGTGTAATAACGATGAACGCGCTATCTGCTTGTTGCTTGGTGTCAATATAAGTGTGTGCGTGTGTTGAGAATGGACGGAGAGTCTGCTGTATTTGCTGAGTGTCAAATTGTGTGTGTGCGCTGCTGCATGGAGTTGTTATCTTGATGGTGAAGTTAATTATTAACTTGGGAGCGTCGGGTATCTTGCGCTGTATTATTTGTGGGTTACCTTGTGCGATGGGCTTAAATGAAAAAAAAATTTTTTTTTTTTGGTGTATTGTGCTGCGAGGTGCTGTGTGCGATGCGATTGTTGCAAGAGAGAGAATAATTGTGGTGTTGCTGCAAAGTTACGACAGGATTAATGGTGTGTTGGTTGCCTGCAGATCTGCTTGCTATTGTGCTTAAATGTACGCGTGTGATCGCGATATGCTGATTGCATGCGCTGTTATACCGTTCTGTATGGTTATGGGGTGCGATGCAGTGGTTGACTATTGGAATTGAGATTGCTATTATATTGTGCGTACCTGTTGGAAATTGGTAACAAATTCGAGGGGGACCCAAATATTTGGTTGTATGGTTGTTGTGCACACGAGATTGCGTGTATATTATAGAGGGGGACCATAAAATTTGGTTGTATGGGTGTTGTGCACACGAGATTGCGTGTATATTATAGAGGGGGACCCAAAAATTTGGTTGTATGGGTGTTGTGCACACGAGATTGCGTGTATATTATAGGGGTAATTGAGCTTTTTGAAAATGAGGGTGCGCGATGACGCCGTTGTGGGTGGCTTAGATGTTAATGCTAATGGGATCGTAAATGGGCGCCAAGTGGCGTCGTGTATTGGTTGATTGCATGCAGCCACGAGTTGCTTTGCGAGTTGGGTTGAGTAACCAATGTGGTTGGTAAACTATTGTTTAAAAATTCCATGATATGACAGCTGTGCGCAGCAAGCTGGGGCTGTGCGTCTATCGTTGGTGGGGTTGTTATAACGTGACGGGGGATGCGTCTTGTGACCCCCAGCTAAGGGAAGCTGGGGTGCACGAATGGAGAAAACTGGCCACGTGTTCGCACGTTGGGCCGCCATTTTGCGCGCACGCGGGGTATGGCGACGATGCGCTTTGCGGAAAGGGCCGCCATTTTGAGTGCGCGCGAGAGATTGCGCGAACGCGCTGGGCGAAGGGGGACGCCATTTTTGAGCGCGCGGGAAAAACCGCGGTGGGGCAAATATTCCATCTGTTATGCCGCCATTGTTGATTGGGTGATGCACGAGTTGTGGTCACATCGGCCTATGGCTGATGGCTGACCTGACAGCCCGGAGGCGAAACCTCCGTGGTATGTCTTAAACTAATGGGCCATGTGCTCATATGGCTCGGGGAGTCATGGTTCAGTTGTGCGGTGGCAGACTGAACCTGGTGTGCCTGGGGCTCACGGGATCTGGGTTAGGGTGTTATTGTCTCTATAAGAGAACATTGCCCCGTGGGGAGAGTACATGGGGTCTGGCATTGCTGGGGGATGAACCTTCCCTGGGCTATAAAGCGTCAGACTATAAGAGGCTGGTGTGTGTCCATCGCTGATGGGATAGTAAGGGAGGAGCATGGCCGAGTGCTGATCTTCCCCGAAATGGCACTAGCCGAGAGTATGGTAAATGGATGTTGCTGTGGGTTGACGACCACGGTGAGGGTTACGGCGAGTTAAACGTCACCGCTGGGGAGCGTGGCTCTCTCCACGCGAGGGTGTGCGATTAGGTGTTTTGTTGGGTTGCTGAGAGTGACCGTGGGTACATGCTGTGTACGTGCGATGTCTGTGCTGGTCCTCAAGGGAGGACTGCTGGTGGGTAAGAGCAGGAAATTTTGTTGTTGTTGTCACGTGTAAATAATATTGTTGTTAAAATGTAAATACTGGGGCATCCATTGCGTTATTTTAGGTATTTATGGGGAGTTTTTTTTAAGCGGGCTGGATTTACATCATCTCCACTACCCTGAGGCCGGGTGGCTGTCGTGTACGACATGCGGATGTGCGTTGTTGTGCTGTGCCTCAGGGGATTGGATTCTCCTTCTCGTCACAGATTCTTCAGCTCCCGTCGCACTGGGTGTTACCTGGTGTGCTAGCTGGATGAGGACTTGAAGGAGCAATTGAGCGCCGTTCGTCATTCTGCTCTACCACTTGCTCTTTGACGTTGGACTTGAGCCGAGCGGATGGAACTGCAACATGGACACGCACTAAAACATCACATTTCTGGGTTGTGCGCGTTGGCCGTTCTTGCGTGTCAGTTGCCGTTTTTGTTCATTGTGCCATTTTTATTCTTGTTGATGTTGCGCGGAGGACAGGCCGGTGTTCTGTTCCAGTTCCTGATACCTCCCCTTTCGTTGCTTGTGTTGTTGTTGTTATAATCTCCGTTGTGTCTGGGGGACTCCTGATTGTGATGCCTTCGCCCGCATTATTTTGTTCTGTTTCAGCCGAGGACGGCTGGGATTTTCTCTACGGGGGAGGGTAGTGTAATGCGGGCGTAAATGGGCGGGGCGGATATGACGATCCGAGAGGGAGGAGTCAGGGTGACGTGGGGGAGAAGTTATAGCGGGGAGACAGGAAGCTATCGGGGTCAGTCGGGGGAGTGAAGGGTGGTGAACACGTTGGGTGGTCGCCGTGCCTCAGCCTGGTGGCTGAGGGGCTCATGACGGCGCCAGCCAGCGGGGTGGAAGAGAGAGTGGAGGATTGAGGTAGGAAGTGGCGAGATAGCCACAGAGGCCACGAAGGGCTGAGGTAGGAAATGGCGAGATAGCCACAGAGGCCACGAAGGGCTGAGGTAGGAAATGGCGAGATAGCCATAGAGGCCACGAAGGGCTGACATTGGGAGGTGGCGAGATCGCCACGCACGGAGGAACAGGGAGCAGAGATGGAGCTGCTGGGGGAGCAGCCAGAGGGCTGTACCAAGAGCCTGCAGCGGAGCTGCAGGAGCGTGGAAGGCTACGGGAGCGAAGGCAGATGTGGGGCTGCCAGGGAGAGAGTCTCAGGAGGAGTGCCGTGTGGGAAGGAGAACGCGAACCCCAAATAAAGGACACGGAGTCAGCAAGAAGTGTCTGAGTCCTTTTATTACATATGTATTGTGTTCAGGTATGACTGCGTTGGAATTCATTACCGGAAGAGTTAGAATATAAATTGTGCACAAGTGGGTAGAGAAATCACTGAAATAAAATTAAGTGTATTGCATCAACCTGTGTGGGGTGGGGGGGGAATCTGCTTCTCGATTCGTGTCTCACACCAGCTGCATTTCCTTATTAAACAAGGGCAACCTTGTCCCCGGTTTCAACTTCACTAGCTTGGCAACGAGGCACACATTCCCTGCTGATGAAACTCGGTTGAGTGAAAATTATTTCGCTGTTGACCGTATATTCCAGATATACCAATGTCCCGGATATTCTGGATATACAAATGTCCTGGATAGTCCAGATGTTGTTTTTTTATAATCGGGGAAATAGAAAAATTACACTTTACCAACGTTTAAAAGCTCCACATCACACAAAGCAAATGTGCCGACTTGCCGTCAGCCACCATCGCCATGCTGCGCAGAAAATGGTGTGCACCAGCCAGCCCCAGTTTCGGCATTGCGCAATTACTGTGGCGTTGTGCTGATGCGTTCCAAAATTGGCTTGCTGCTTTCCGTGATGGGTTTATTTTTCACTTCATACATTTCATATTTGCTTTTTTTACATATATATTCGGAGACAATAAAAAGCAATAAAATTTACATTTCAAGCTGTAAACCGGCATAAATTTGGTCTTCACGGAAATAACAGGGGGTTTTGTAAAGAGAATGGATATACCAGGGAAGAACAGTGTTTCGAGGTTTCCCACATGACAGCAAACTCACTCTGTGCCTCGCATTCCGGCAACATTCTTCAAGGGTTGATCTTGCCGACAAACTACCAGACAGCGTGTCGCGGGCAGCCCAACCGTGCGCAGAGGGTGGAACAATCCACCTCGACTCATGCCAAGAGAATCTGTAATGGAGGGCTCACATCACCTACATTTGGTCCCCTAACCGCCTGCCTCGGTGTCTCCAACACAGCCATTATGTCCCCCAACCCTCCACCCCATTTGTGAGACACCCACACACAAAATTTACGATTTCTCATCTATTAACATCCAAATCGACGATGTCCGTTTCAGGAAAACAATACAAAAAAACACATCACAAGACACAAGATCATTCTCGCTGGAATTCTTTTCAGCAGAGTCCGATAGGGGGGGAAATGAACCAGATGGAAAAATTAAGGGAGATACTGCAGGAGGGAGCAAGTGGTGATTGGGCACACACTAGGCAACACCTCATCGCCACCACCATCAGCACTGCCTTCTAACAGTAGAACCAGCCAGTCAGAGTGACCCGCACCCACATCACCACTCACAATCCAAAGGTTGCGCAAGTTTGAATTGCCAGTCTGGGGAGGGGGGGGGGTCAACGTAAACCCATCACAGGATAAAAACGTATTTCTTTTAGATAAGGCCGCGTTATCCATTTTTATTTTTGCATCGTCACCAACCGACTCTTAATCGGCATGTTGAAAGTATGGCCCAATGACTATGGCGCAGGGGGGGGGGGGGGGGACTGGCCCTCGTTCATCCAGCAATGAACTGACAAAAAGGGGCTCCGTGTGCACCCGTGCATAACATTTTTTGACCATGTGAAGGTCGCTTCGCTGCGTCAACATCCGCTAATTGCAGCACCACCAACATTAATGAACACGGGGTTTGCATGCATCCTTCGAAATAATTAAAAGGCGTACCTCTCGTACGTCATTAACACGTGCGGTTTTTCTATCCACGCTGAGCTCAATATGCTTCTACGGGCTCTCCACTTGCAGAGCAGGGCCGACGGTGCCCACATCATAGCCGGCTTCGCGCTTCAGTTATATAGGCAGTGTCTGCGGACCGAGGCGGTGAAGTGTTCGTCATTTCATCTCACCTAAAACCGTGGGCTTTCACAAACAATATTACAATATTACGATTCATAATTGACTTTTTAGCCCAAATTGCCAATGAAAGAAGTTGTCACACAATGAGAAAAAAAGTGGACAATTTATTGCTGCTGCTCCTGCAGCACATGCCTAGCATGGAGAGCAATCCACACCACATTTAATAATTGGAGACGGACTTTTTTTACTCATAAACACAACCAGCGTTATGATTTATGCAAATGTATAACCTTTCGGCATCACTTCTTGCTTTCTTTCTGAGAACACATTGATGACACAACATCTCCAACCTATTTACTGCCCAAAAACGGAGGAGATATTTTAAAAGTTCTGGAAACTGCCTCATGATGCCAATTGTAACTACCAGCAAAATGTTAGACTACCCAATTGTTAAATGTGTGGATCGCACTCCGGCTTTACCGGTGTAGTGCTTGATACACACCACTGTGACAACTTTATGAATTACCTGTTTTGGCTGGAGGAGCACTATACTACATAAAATTTTACTCACGTGGCGATCCGAATCAGAAAAATCAATGATGAATTACGTAAAACCGGTTTAACAGACCTAACATTGGTCGCGACCGCCTTGACATGGACACAATGATACTAAATCCACAATCCTGCCACTCCCTCATGTTCTGCCCCCCACCCTTCCCCCGCCATGTGCCCCGTACTCCTACTCCTGCTCCTTCTCTTCCTCCTTCTCTTCCTCCTCCTCCAAGGGGCACACGTCACCCGTCACTTGAAGGAGGCGAGGTTGGGCACCTTGATGTTGATGTCCCCGATGTTGATGTTGCGCGGCATGTCCGGCAGGTTCATGTTCTTCACGGCCGACACGGCTCGCGCCGGTGCCGCCGCGAGGCCGGCCTGGAGATGAAGGGAGGGAGGGATGGCGGAATGGAGGGAGGGAGGTGGCAGGCCGCGGGCAAGGAGAGGGATCAGGATTTGCATATGTGCGTATTTGCGGTACACTGGTGCATTATAACATACCAGTCTAAAATCTAAATTTGAATCAGAAAATCTGTTTTTATCAGTCTCGAATTGACCCTGTCGCCAAGTTTGATGTAATTCGAAGGTTTATTCCGTTTGAGACTTTCTAAAAAAGGTCAACATTGATCTTCTTGGTTCTTTCGGTAAAGTCACGTAGAAGGGAACTATTAAAATAATAAAAATAAAACATAATAAAATAATTCTCTCGACGTTTCGGCCACAACACAAGTAGCCGTCCTCAGGTGAAGACAGGTTTGTCGAGGCGACAGCGTCTAAAGGAAAACCACAACCACGCTTGGAGCGTCTATTTAAGCTGGGTTGGAAGGGGGGGGGGGGGGTAAATGCGCATTGACAAAATAATCTGCATATCAAGAGGAATTTAGCATATTTATGGGAAATGCAGGAATGCGATTAGTGCTATTTGTGAAATGCTAATCCGCATAATGCCCATGCATTATGCAGGATTAGCAGCATCAAAGGGAGGGGGATAGGGGTAGCATTAATAAAGGGAAGGAATGTTAATAGTATGTAGCTGCAGTAACTAAACAACAACGTAAAACGCTAAAGTATAAACTACATAGTATAAAATTGTATACTGTATTACTATACACGACCCTATGTCTTAGAATAATACATAGTGTAATATTACAATATGTATTATTCTACCCACCCAACTGTATACCACACTGCTGTATATTCACTATACAATTTCGATACTATATATATATTGTATTAAACATTACACTTTAATACTATTTATTATTATATAATATTCTATACACTATACCATTGACCGTCGCGTGAACGAAGCAAAGAATCCATTCCCTGCGGAGAATACAAGATATATAGTCAATGTGAGTGAGTGGAACGCGGTCTGAAAGTCACCGTAAACGTGGACACAATCAGTTAAGATCCGAAATAGTTAATTACGTCCTTCCAATGATTGCTAAGCCGGAATCCATCTTCTCGGTTGAAATTGTCTCTGTGTTTGTCTATGTGGATCGCCTCATGAACGAATCTCTCATGGTAGCCAGATGGCTTGCAGAGAACCTCTGTCTTGGAGAAGTCAATATCATGTGAGCCCACTGAATTGTAACAGTGATCTGCCACGGCTGAGGTGTTTGTCCTACCGTGTTTCAAGTCTGCTTTATGTTCACGGATGCAGTCCGAGACATGTCGTTTGGTTTCTCCAATGTAACTGCTACCACAGAGGCAACTTGGTTTGTAGACGCCAGGGTACTGTATGTCTGGAACCACATCTTTTACAGATGGGACCAGATCACGGATTTTATGTACTGTGTTGAATCGGACCTGGATCGTGTGTTTAATCAGGATTTTGGAGATCTTTTTTGTGACCCCAGCAATGTAGGGTAAGGTGATGGTCTTGAGAGGCTCCTCAACAGGATATTTCTTGATGGTTGGAGTGATGGCTTTGCGGATTGTGTAGTCGGAGTAACCATTAGCCTTAAGAGCTTGGTGTACGTGTTTGAGTTCACTGGCAATGTGTTCCTGGTCGGAAATGCATTGGGCTCTATGGTATAGAGTCTTGATGAGGGAGTTCTTCTGGGATGGATGGTGGTGGGAATCCGGTTTTAGGTAAGCAACATTGACTGTTGATTTTGGTCCGGGGCACACTTTTTTGGCCCGACCAGGAGGGCGAGCGTCTGGAACAACAGCTGCAACTCTCTTGCATTGCTTCATGCAAGAAAGCCAATCATCAGGCTGGGTGCTACTAGATGGCAACAGACCGTGAAGCTTTGTATTCAACTGCTCATAACACTCTTCTTCTGACCACTTTGACATCATGAGAACTAATTCTGACACACCACCCCACAAGATTTTCTGACTGGGGTTACGCATCGTGGGAAACTCAATAATTGCACAAAAATTAGCTTTTTACCGCACACCACCGGTGTACCGCCAAAAGCTTCATTCATGGTGGTGGTGCCGACACGTTCTGCGGCAATAGCATGCTCTCTCGCCCGTCTGTTGCCGAGTTTACGCTGTTCGGATTGGCTAGGCCGCCCACCGGTTAATACTGCGGTAGGGTGTGTGGTAACACGAGAAATACTATGACTACGTACAGTCTGCTTCGCTCGCAGTGGACATTAAAGCAATCGCTTGGAAGTCATTCTAAAACCGGTAGTAAATAGGCCATAGTACGTCCAAACGGTCCAAACTTTACAGACACACCGAGGCTTTATTGGCAGCCGGGGACAGATTGAATCGCAAACCCTTGCAACAAGCAGCAAACACGGAATGTGATCACATCACTGCTGCAAGTTCATCACTATCAAGCTTACACTGCACCAGAGGGCAGATGGAATAAGCCTGTAGGTAGTCTGCCATGGACTATGAATCCCTTTGTTATTACTATGTGTGTATGTATGTTGAACTTCTTTCGCACACCCCACGTAGCCAACCGTGCGGGATATCCGAGACATTGGTAGATGCAGAATTACCAGGACATTGGGTAGATCAGAAATATCCTGGAGATATTACACCCGTTGAAATAGGTCGTTGCGCCCCTGCATTAGACACCCCCGTGGCTCTCTGCCACGCTCTGCACCAAGCATGGTGAAGTAGGACCAAAGCCCCATGACCCGTACGGCATGGGAAAGCCCTCTTCCAGCAGTGGATTGACCTAAGGTCAATGGGGGCTGTGTGGCTGTGCAGTGTTAACACTCATGCCTCGCAGAAACAAAGGCCTGGGTTTGAATACTGTGCATGTATGTACGTAGGTTGAACTTCTTTCGCACCGTACGTAGCCAACCGTGCCAATCGGAGGTGCAAGTAAGGACAACAAACTAAACACACGAAGCAGTTTTAAATACGTTTTCAATCCAGATTTGAAAGTGCATAGCTACAGTGGCTTACTAATGTCGGAAGAGCATTCCAGACAGCTGCAGAAGTGCATCTGTAAGCGTGTGATGTAGTGACCATCTTTGACCATCAGTGACTATGCTCGTTAACCTCAGAAAGCCTCACCGAGTCTCAAGACTTATTTTCAAGAGGGTCCTGTTAAGTTTTCACAATTAGGAGGGTGATGTTGCTGCTTTGTGTAATCCCAATTGAGTAATTTGCAGGTATTTGTTTCCAGCAGTTGGACGTTTTTGGTCAACACCAGTTACTGTCTTTGTTCAGCTAAGGGAGGAAACGAGAGAATCCAGAGGAGACCAATGCAGAACAGGGGGAGACCATACAAAAACTGTATTCACATGGGGAGAACCAACTCACTCATCGCACGGGGAGAACAAACCACACGCACAGAGTGGAGCACCTGAGTGCGGGAATCTAACCCAGGCCATCTTCTTGTGCCCATCGGATCATGTCAGCTCTTGTCAGCTCGTCAATTCACTACTACACGAGGGCCCGGATACTTAAACTGCACACAGGGTAGTGTGGAGGAAAGGGGATGGGGGACATCACCTCGGACTTCTCCAACTTGTTCTGCGCCTCGATCTGATTGACGATCTCATTCATGTTCGTCTCCAGCACCATCCCGCCCATCACCATCTCATTCAGAATGTAGTGCACCTAACACAGAGATACAAGAGATCCTCTCTGTTTGTAGTCTTTAACATAGAGACGCACATATACAGGGCAGTCATCGATTTACGAATATAATTCGTTCCTGAGGCCCCGTTCATAAGTAGTAACGGTTCGTAAGTCAGAATACAACAATGTACTGTATTTAAATATCCATACCTTCAGTGTTATCAAATGCGTGACATTTCAACAAAAAAGGGAAGCATTTTTAAACTCGCAAGAAATATTGTACACTTGTATGCAACACTGTAAAAAATACTGTATAGTAAATAAAACATAAAATAAAGTAACATAAATAGAGGGGAGATCTTATGGTTTCTAGCAGCAGCTACGACATTGCATTTCTCCTTAAGTCCTGGATTTTTTGCAACATGGTAGAAAATTGGAATCCGTTTGGCAAAGTATAAACGTGTATATATCAGGTATGGCAGTTTAATTAACTTTAATGTCACCAGCATTCGATCATACACACGTGGCTATTTTCACCATCAAAGGTCGTGTCTGTTTGCACCAGATCCCCCAACTTTAGCTCTTCCCTACTGGTACCAATATTTTATCCCAAAGATCCTCTCAATTATTTTTATTGGTAAATATCTCGCTCTTTGAGCCGTGTCCTTTCTCAAAGTTGTTGGCGATCGTGGCCTTGCTAACATTTAGCTCTGTCCATATTACTCAGGAACCTGTTAGTCTATAGGCAATATTAGTCTATGTAAAATGTTAGTCTGTGGGCAATGGAAGACTGTGGGCAATGTTGGTCTATGGGCAAGGAAATCATTGTTATTCTATATCTCTCTCTGTGCCACATCCTTTCTAAATGAAGTTGACGAGCGTGGCGTTTCTTCCATTTTAGCTCTGTTCATAATATTGGCTCAAGAACGTTTGTTTCTGATACTCCCAATTGTTCAAATGTATAATATAAATATGCATCCAGTAACATGTTGGCAAACAAATCTGACAAGTGAAACGATTATTGTCAATAGCCATCGTTAATTCACTCACCAATGTGCAGAATTATAATCTTTGGGAAAATTATCCAGACACCCAATGATAACGGTTTTCTGAGAAAGGCAACTATATTAAAAAAAAATTGGTTTTTAAGTACACAGTTAAATAATTGCAAAAAAAAATCTATATCCAAAAACAATAGTTTATTTGTTTATAGTCTAACTTAGACATGATAAGACATCCCCCCAAAATTCTCAACAGTCATTCTGGCTGAAATTGTTCGGCCTATAAAAGTGGAAAAAACTTAACTCCGCAGCACGACAAAGATCCATCCCAAGGCCATACCCTAGCGCACATGGTGCGAATAAGATCCCCCGTATTGCCTGCATAGGCTGTTAGGGCAGGTGTTGTTAGTGAGGGGGAACTATGAAGGTCAGCATGGCACAAAGGGGTGGGTGGCCACCACCACGTCCGATCGCCTTTGTCTCCCCAGTGGCAATGTATACTACACACCACATACTCATTTGAGGCTGAGTCGACCTAGGGGAGGCCCACGACCGGTTCAGATAATCGTAACTGGTGATGGCCGTGAACTCGGGTCGCCAGGTTTGTAGCGTAGCACACTAACCGATACTCAACAGCTTCCCACTCCGCGTTGCAAAGAGAAAGATCCCCCATATAGCCTTAACAGACTGTTGGGGCAAGTGCTGTTAGCGAGCACCTATGAAGGCCGGCACAGCACACAAGGGGGTAGGTGGCCAGCACCACGCCCGGCTGCCTTTGTCTTCCTAGTGGCAATATTTACGACACACCACACCAGGTATGCGTTTGAGGCTGAATCGACCTATGGGAGGCCCAAAACCGGTTCATAAAATTGTCACTGGTGGTGGTAGTCTTGGGCAGCAATTAAACTCGTATCGCCAGGTTCATAGTGTAGAATCCTAACCGCTACACCAATACCTGCTATTCGCATTTAAGTGATGATGACGTCACCACCGCGCAAGTGCCAGGCCAGGTGCACTTTGAGGCCATGTGAAGTGTCGAAGGCTCGCTGACAGGAGGTCTCGGGACAGACCCAGGTGCCATGGGTTGGCCGACTGAGATGACCGGTAGCTGCACCAGCTTTACCCCCCACTGTGTCAACTTGCTGCATTTTAGCCGCCCGGCGCTCCGCTCATTATTCAGAGCATCGCTCCTCTGCCCTCCATTGTTGCTGGAGGACAACTGCCTCCAACTGTCCAACAGTGTCCTTCATGAGCCTCCTCCATAGAGGCTGATTTTGACACCACTGGTACCAGTCGTTGGCAAGTCCACTCCATATTCTCTTATTTCGCATCAGTCCATCTCTTCTCTAGCCTGTGTCGTGTCCATTTCGCCCGCTCTTTGCGGCCAAACAGAAGCTGCTTGAGCATGCGGGGGCTGGGCATGTGGGCTACATGACCCAGATAATGCAGCCTTGCCTGCCGGAAGAGCTCACTGATGGGAATGTTTCGATTTAAAGCTTTCGTGACTGCAGGGATTCATCTTCTTGGTTCTTTCGGTAAAGTCACGTAGAAGGGAAGTAATAAAATAATAAAAATAAAACATAATAAAATAATTTTCACGACGTTTCAGCCACAACGCAAGCAGCCGTCCTCAGGTGAAAACCAGGTCTGTCGAGGCGACAGCGTCTGAATGAAACAGCACCATGTTTGGAGCATATATTTAAGCTGGGTTGAAAGGGGGGGAAAGGGCGCCATGAAAAAAGAATTTGCATATCAAGAAGAATTTTGCATATTTATGGGAAATGCAGGTATGTAATTAGTACTACTTATGCCCGTGCATTATGCAGGATTAGCAGCATCAAAGGGAGAGAATATGGGAAATGCAGGTATGTGATTAGTACTACTTATGCCCGTGCATTATGCAGGATTAGCAGCATCAAAGGGAGGGGATAGGGGTAGCATTAATAAAGGGAAGGAGTGTTAATAGTATGTAGCTGCAGTAACTAAAACCACCACGTAAACAACTAAAGTATAAACTACATAGTATCATCAGTATACTAAATATACTCTACAATAAGCTGAGTTACTAACAGTAAGTAATACATTACAATTCTACGTCGTAAAAATATAATATGCTTCCATCTAAACTTTATTCTCTTACATCACACGAGTCTACACCGTACTATATACTGCCATAGACAAACCCAACATTAAATTACATACTGTATTGCTATAAACCACCTTATACATTGTAATATTACACTATGTATCATTTTACCCACCCTAATGTATATCACACTGCTGTATATTCACTATACAATTACGATACTATATATTACTTTGTACCTTGTATTAAGCATATACATTTTATACTATTTGTTATTATACACTGTACCATTGACCGTCGTGTGAAAGATACTAAGAGGAAGCAACGAAATATGTCAATGGGAGAGTAGAGAGGGGAAACTTGCAGCGGAGCAAAGAATCCAATCCCTGCGGAGAATACAATGCCAGTGAGTGGAACGCGGTCTGAAAGTCACCGTAAACGTGAACACAATCAGTTAAGATCCGAAATGGTTTATTATGTCCTTCCAATGATTGCTAAGCCAGAATCTATCTTCTCGGTTGAAATTGTCTCTGTTTGTATTTGTGGATCGCCTCATGAACGAATCTCTCATTGTAGCCAGATGGCTTGCAGAGAACCTCTGTCTTGGAGAAGTCAATATCATGTGAGCCCACTGAATTGTAACAGTGATCTGCCACGGCTGAGGTGTTTGTCCTACCGTGTTTCAAGTCTGCTTTATGTTCACGGATGCGGTCCGAGACATGTCGTTTGGTTTCTCCAATGTAACTGCTACCACAGAGGCAACTTAGTTTGTAAACGCCAGGGTACTGTATGTCTGGAACCACATCTTTCACAGACGGGACCAGATCACGGATTTTATGTACTGTTGAATCGGACCTGGATCTTGTGTTTTATCAGGATTTTGGAGATCTTTTTTGTGACCCCAGCAATGTAGTGTAAGGTGATGGTCTTGAAAGGCTCCTCAACAGGATCCTTCTTGATGGTTGGAGTGATGGCTTTGCGGATTGTGTAGTCGGAGTAACCATTAGCCTTAAGAGCCTGGCGTACGTGTTTGAGTTCACTGGCAATGTCTTCCTGGTCGGATATGCATTGGGCTCTATGGTATAGAGTCTTGATGAGGGAATTCTTCTGGGATGGATGGTGGTGAGAATCCGGTTTTAGGTAAGCATCCGTATGGGTGGCTTTCCTGTAGACAGAGTGGCTCATTGAACCATCAGGTCTCCTTTCAATTAGAACATCCAAAAAGGGTAGCTTGCCATCTTTTTCGACTTCCACGGCCTTTCACTGGAAAAACCACCTCTGCGGTACTAAACTCTACTGACCTGGTATCGACAATCAAGGGGATTTCCCTGTCCCCAGATGACCTGCTTGTCAGTTTTGATGTGGTTTCCTTATTCACCAAAGTTCCTGTACCTGACACCATCGCAATCATTGAAGACTTGGTTCATCAAGGACTGAATACTGGGGTACCCTCCCTGGTGGGACACTGCTTAACCAATACATACTTCACCTGGAATGGAACGTTCTTCAAGCAAACTGAGGGCACCCCAATGGGCTCCCCCTATCTCCGGTTGTAGCCAACGTTTTCATGGAGAAATTTGAGACTGACGCCATCCAGACTACCACTCTACGCCCGACCTTATGGAAGAGGTACATAGATGACACTTTTGTCATCTGGCCACATGGCCGGCCTGCTCTCGACCAATTTATCGACCACATCAATTCCATACACCCAGCCATCAGATTCACCATGGAAGTCGAAAAAGATGGCAAGCTACCCTTTTTGGATGTCCTAATTGAAAGGAGACCTGATGGTTCAATGAGCCACTCTGTCTACAGGAAAGCCACCCATACGGATGCTTACCTAAAACCGGATTCCCACCACCATCCATCCCAGAAGAATTCCCTCATCAAGACTCTATACCATAGAGCCCAATGCATAACCGACCAGGAAGACATTGCCAGTGAACTCAAACACGTACGCCAGGCTCTTAAGGCTAATGGTTACTCCGACTACACAATCCCAAAGCCATCACTCCAACCATCAAGAAGGATCCTGTTGAGGAGCCTTTCAAGACCATCACCTTACCCTACATTGCTGGGGTCACAAAAAAGATCTCCAAAATCCTGATAAAACACAAGATCCAGGTCCGATTCAACACAGTACATAAAATCTGTGATCTGGTCCCGTCTGTGAAAGATGTGGTTCCAGACATACAGTACCCTGGCGTCTACAAACTAAGTTTCCTCTGTGGTAGCAGTTACATTGGAGAAACCAAACGACATGTCTCAGACCGCATCCGTGAACATAAAGCAGACTTGAAACACGGTAGGACAAACACCTCAGCCGTGGCAGATCACTGTTACAATTCAGTGGGCTCACATGATATTGACTTCTCCAAGACAGAGGTTCTCTGCAAGCCATCTGGCTACCATGAGAGATTCGTTCATGAGGCGATCCACAAATACAAACAGAGACAATTTCAACCGAGAAGATAGATTCTGGCTTAGCAATCATTGGAAGGACATAATAAACCATTTCGGATCTTAACTAATTGTGTTCACGTTTACGGTGACTTTCAGACCGCGTTCCACTCACTGGCATTGTATTCTCCGCAGGGATTGGATTCTTTGCTCCGCTGCAAGTTTCCCCTCTCTACTCTCCCATTGACATATTTCGTTGCTTCCTCTTAGTATCTTTCACACGACGGTCAATGGTACAGTGTATAATAACAAATAGTATAAAATGTATATGCTTAATACAAGGTACAAAGTAATATATAGTATTGTAATTGTATAGTGAATATACAGCAGTGTGATATACATTAGGGTGGGTAGAATAATACATAGTGTAATATTATAAAGTCTATCAGATGTTCTTGCTTGGCCCTGGCGTGCATCCATGATGTTTTGTGGATGTGCCAATGCAGGAATAGCGTGTTCATAATTACAAGCCCATGGGCTACACAGAAGTCTTTCAGCCTCCTTCCGATATTGTTGAGCTGATCTGGCCCATGCCTTCCGATCACTCCAACCTAGGTGTCTGCGTCATGAACCACTCAGGCATTAAAGTCACTTAACAGGATGACTCTATCCCGAGGAACCAGTTTAGCTAGCACCTGGGACAGGTTATAGAAGACATCTGACTGATCAACCTAGTCTGCATCCCTCCACTTATGTTCATCTTTGGTGGCGGAGTAAGCAACCACCACCACACTTGATGGGGAGGTGAGCCCGCAATAGCCTGGGATTTACAGCTTCCCACACTTCACTGCAAAATAAGTGCCACTCCCCCCTGTTTGGTAGTTTCCTGCCTTAAGTGGAGAACTGTCCATCCCTCATGTTGACTGGAACCAGAACCGGTCCACTGGACCTCCTGTATTCCACAAAGGTCCAAGCAGGACCAGTCCATCTCTTGACAAAGGAGTGGCAGCCTCTCCTCCGCAAAGAGAGTCCAAACATTCCACGTGGCCAATCTCAGTGTTTTCCTGTTCCTGGATTTGCCAGATTGAGTTTGGCCAAAAGGTGTCATGAATGTCTATCCCCCTTGGTCTTTAGCACGAGCTCATGTTGGTGTTTCCACCCTGGTGCTTGGTAGGAAAAAAGTGCCAGGTGGAGGGTTCACCAGGCCCTCACACGCACCGATCTATCTACATACACATCCCCCACTCACACCAATACGGCCCACACACACACATAGCCTGCAACACTTACACGTTCAGCCTGCACCACACACACAACCGCCATTCGCCATGAAATGGCGGTGACGTCACCACGACACTTGTGCCAGGCTATGTGCACCTTGAGGCCACGTGAAGTGTCGAATGCCCTCTGGCAGGAGGTCACGGGGCAGACCCAGGTGCCACAGGCCGACTGACTGAGACGACTGGCTGATGCACCACCTGTGCCCCCTACTGTGCCAACTTGCTGTGCTTTAGCCACCCACGACTACACACACACAGCCTCTACCACATGCACACCACCTGCGCCGCACGATGCTATACAAGCCACAATGCATCATAGACTAGAGTACACACACACTATAGTATAAATGCTACAGTACACCCCACTCTACAGTACACGCACCACAGTACACCACACTACATACTACAGTACACCATGCACTACGTACGGTACACCCCATACTACAATACACCGCATGCTACAGTACATCCCACGCTATTTATAAACATACGCAGACAACAACACGCACACAGAAACACAAACACACAGACACGGGGATACAGATAATACACAGATACAAATAATACAGGTACTGTACACGCACGCTGTTGGAAAGAAAAAAAAGCGTGGCAAAACAAAACTGCTGAATAAAACGTTAAAACAAAAACGTTAAACAATAAAAAAAAATCGAGAAATGCGACTAATCCACCGAGATACATACACATACACTCACTTTAAAACTCAATCACACAAAAAAGCACACTCTCACACACAATCACGTGATCGCCCATCCCTTCAACCGCCTTAGCTGCTCAGCTGCCACCGCGGCACACACATGCACAAACACACTCGGGCTCGCTCGATCTTCGTGGCACACTGAACCAAAAAAAACAAACTCCAACTGCGCGAAAATGCGACCGAGGGAGTCCAGAGGGCTGGGGTCAGGGGCTGATGGCTAACGTCTGCTCCTGAACTGCTGGAGCACGCACGGCCAATGGAGAGAGGTGGGGGGAGGTAGGGGCTGGATCGACCACAGAACGGAGATTTCTCGTCTGTCCTAGCTTACGAACAGAGACTGGGGATTCTTTGCTTTTCCTATAAACCTGAAAATACCTTCAGCGGGCACACCTGGGATATGTTTGCAATGTGCCACACCTGTTGCCAAGTGCTATGCTGCAGCATAAAAAAACCCACGAAGAAAAGTATAATATATATGAACGTTTTGGCGGTACTCCAGTGGTGCGTAATATAAGAAATATTTTTTGCGCAAAAATTATTTTTTTTCCTGCGATTCTCAACCCCCGGTCCAAAAACTTGCGGGGTGTGCATCAAAATCAGTTCCCGTGAAGCGGTCGGAAGACGAATGTCAGTTACATTTTTGATTGCAGACTGTTTTATGAAGGACCAGTGTGTCATGCTGCACCGGTGTAGCGCCAATACATCCATGTGGAGATTCTAGAAGGGTTCGTGCTGATTATCTTGGTGATTTGCCAGGAGATTAATGACCCAGAAAGCACAGGGCTTCTGCCCCATCATCAACACCGCCCGGACCTTGTCAACGTGGAAGATGAGGTCCAGCTCACAGACGTTCTCAAAGCACTTGTCCAGAGTCTCCACGAACACCTGGTCCAAAACAAGACAATGTCAACACCACAATGAATTGCCATCGCCACCAACGTCTGTCAACGATGAACCGCCGTCAAACAATAACAAACATCACCACCACCGCCATCAACACAATAACAAACATCACCACCCACGCCATCAACACAAAAATCAAACATCACCACCACCACCATCAACACAATAACAAACATCACCACCACCGCCATCCACACAATAACAAACATCACCACCACCGCCATCAACACAATAACAAACATCACCACCATAAACACAATAACAAACATCACCACCACCACCATCAATACAATAACAAACATCACCACCACCGCCATCAACACAATAACAAACATCACCACCACCGCGGTCAAACACAATAACAAACATCACCACCACCGCCATCAACACAATAACATCACCACCAACACCATTAAATACAATAACAAACATCACCACCAACACTGTCAATGCTGAACCACCGTCAAACACACTAATAATCACCACCAATGCAGTCAAACACAATAAAAACATCACCGCCAACACTGTCAACGCTGAACCACCGTCAAACACAATAACAATCACCACCAACATTGTCAATGCTGAACTGCCGTCAACACAATAAAAACATCACCACCAACACTGTCAACGCTGAACCCCTGTCAACACAATAACAAACATCCCCACCACCATCGTTAATGCTGATCTGCCATCAACACAATAACAAACATTGCCACGGACGCCGCCATCAACGCAATCATCAACACCATCACACAAACACCTTCAACACTGCACGACAATCAAAGTCATTATGAACACCATCATTACCACCAAACATCACGATCAACACCAGGAACCTAACAACATCATCACTCATTTCTTTAGAAGTGTTTTTTTGTGTTTAGTTTGTTTTCCTTCCCCCGCACCTCTGAATAGCAAGGTTGGCTACGTACGGTGCGAAATACGTTCAACATACATGTTAACATCATCAACAAACACAGCCATCAAGCACCATTACAAACATCATCAACTAATCTCCACCAACACTACTGACAACACCATCAACGCTATAACAACCGCCATTCGTCACTTAAGCTAAGCTTTGTGTACTTTAAGGCCACGTGAAGTGTCAAACGCTCGCTTACAGGAGGTCACGGAACAGAACCAGGTACCATCGATTGAATGACTGAGATGACTAACAGATGCACCACCTGTGCCCCCTATCGTGCCAACTTGCTGTGTTTTAGCCGCCCGGCGCGTCGCTCATTGTTGCGGGCGTCGCTCCTCTGCCTTCTGCTGTTGTTAGAGGGTGACTACCTCCAACTGCCCAGTAGCAAGCATCCTCCTCCGATCTTGACACTGCTGGTACCAATTACTGGCAAGCCGACTCAGCTCCATATCCTCTCACACCACATTATTCCACATCTTCTCTAGCATGTGCCGCACCTGTTTAGCCGCCTCTATCCAATCTACGTGTTAAACCAAATAAAAGCTGTTCAGGCATTCGGTGGCTGGGCAAGCCAGCTACATGACCCAGCCAATGCAGCCTTGCTTACCGGAAATTACTGATGGGACTGTGTCCAGATCTTTCAAGGATCTGTGAACTCATCACACAATCCAGTCTGTGTTAACCCAGGATGGATCGTAGGCAGGCTATCCTGAATATTTCTAACAGGCGCAGTTGTTCCATTAGAGGGTCCACATTTTACAAGCATAAGTGAGGGCATGCCTGTGGCCGAGAAAACCCGAAACTTCGTGCGGGAGCAACAGACCAGATAGCTTGCACACAGCATTGCGCAGCCAATGAAAAGATCATGCCGCTCTACTGATTTGGAGCGAGACCTCAGCTGCAAAACTGGAGTTTGTCATGAGTGTACTGCCCAAGCTCATAAACAAAGATCCCCCGTATAGCCTTAACTGGATGTTGGGGCAAGTGCCGTTAGCGTGCATCTATGAAGGACGGCATGGCACACGAAGGGTGGGTGGCCAGCACCACGCCTGACTGCCTTTGTCTCCCCAGTGAGATTATTTTTACACACAGCACCAGGTACTCATTTGAAGCTGAGTGGACCTAGGGGAGGCCTAGGACTGGTTCAGATATTCGTCACTGGTGTTGGTGGCCGTGAGCGGGAATCGAACTCAAGTCTCTGCCAGGTTCATAGCGCAGCGTGGCGCTAACCACTACTACACTAGCGCTCAAACACCACCAGCACCCAACGAATGACTGCCAGTGTGTGTGGTGTGCGTGTGTGTGGCCATGCCTGGATGAGGTCGAGGATGCCGAGTTCGCTCTCGCACGAGTCCACGCAAAACACGAAGTAGAGCGTCGCGTAGTGCCTGTAGATGAGCTTGTAGTCCGAGCCACCTATCAGCCTGCACCCATGGTTACTCAGCACAAAAGGCTACGGTGGCAACATGGCTCGCTGCTCACACAGCCGGGCAAGTATGTGACTCAGCAAATTGCAAGAGCAAACATCCACGGCAGCAGACAAGTGGAGTTCGCACGTTCCACCAGAATACACGCGTTGTATTGGGGTATTCACAATAAAGTTTTTTTTGGGTTAGATCGCGTAAATATATGTGTCGTTAAAACCCGCCACCACCCGACACAGCCAACTAGTAAGGATTGTCACGTAAACAGAACATGCCAATTCGTCACTAATACAGCACACCGGTGTGTTGGAGAGCCAAGCCACAACATTTACAATAGACAAGAAGGACAAGTTCAAAGGGCTCGCATAATGCATAATGTACATTGCCTCAGTAATCCCCCCCCCCACGTGGCGCAAGAGTGGAGAAGCGTGGTCACCACATCTACGCCTCTATATAAGGAAAAAAATAGTAAGACTTCTTCACAAATCTGGCTGTCACCTGATGAAGCCAGTTGTAATTACTGGTGAAACGTCGTACTCAGATTGTAAATGTTGTGGCTCGGGTCTCCAACACACCGGTGTGCTGTACTAGTGACTAATTGGCCATGTTCTGTTTACGTGACAACCCTTACTAGTTGGCTGTGTCGGGTGGTGGCAGGTTTTAACGACACATTTATATATTTACGCGATCTAACCCAAAAAACCTCAATTATGGATGATATTGGTCGCGAAAGCTTAGTATTAAACTATTGGGATATTGTCAGTCATCTGTGATATCGGCAAGATGGTTTGCACCACACCGCACCACATTTCTAGTTTGTTGATTCCTCGATTTTCGATTGTAACACTTTCCTAAAGTAACCATACATTATTCTTATTTAGCTTGCTTACCCACAAAAGCCTCACCGACTCTTTTTTCAGGAGGATGCTGCAGAAATCAAACCCAAGCCTTTGTTTCTGTGAGGCACGAGTGTGTTAACACAGCATTGCCATGCTGTTCTTACAGCCCTTAGGTCAATCCACTTCTGTAAGAGGGCTTTCCCATGCCATGCGGGTCTTGGGGTTTGTTTGACCACACTTCACCATGCTTGGTGAAGAGAGTAGCAGGGAGCACGGGGGTGCTGGACGCAAGGGCGCAGTGACCTTTTTCAACGGGGGGCGATGCAAGATACGACTGTGGCCCCCCCTACTTTCTCCTGACTCAATGTTACTGAAAAAGCTACGGATGTTTTTAACCCATATACAAGAATATGTAGGTTATAACTATATATTCTATTGTTCTCATTTTTTTAAATACATTAAAAACATTTTTTTAACTTGTTTATCTGTTAATTCGGGCCTGCCAAGTGGTCGACTGAGCCCCTATGTGTTGCATACGCTGCATACCCCGTGGTCGGATGGCCCAGGACCGGTTATGATATGAACTTGCCACTGTTGTTTAGCCTTGGCCATGAATAAAACTCATGTGGCCGGGTTCACCATGCCGCATCGCGCTTTCTGCCATCACAAGGCAGTTGGTGGGGGTTTGACCTCATGGTCTCTGGACTGGTGATCGCTCCGACCGAATACGGAGATGCTCGGACACCCCCCGGTGGGGCTGGAGTCCCGCCGGGGGGAGGGGCGCAGGGGTGAGCCGAGGGTGCGATGCTCACGTTCCCCCCTCCAGGAAGTTGCAGACATTGTCGTCTCGCTTGGACACAAGGTGGAATGTCTCCCGGATGATCTGCTGCTGCATGTCCTCGCTCTGCACAAAGACAAAGATCCCCAAATAGCCTCAACAGACTGCTGCGGAAAGTGCTGTTAGCGAGCACCTATTAAGATCGGCACGGCATACGACAGGAGTGGGTGGCCTTCACCACGCACGGCCGCCTTTGTCTCCCCAGTGGTGATGCTTACTACACACCGCACTAGGTACTAATTTGAGGCCGAGTCGACCTAGGTCCAGGACCGGTTCGCGTAATCGTCACTGGTGTTGGCCGTGAGCGTGAATCTAACTCGGGTTGCCGGGTTCATAGTGTAGCGTAGCGCTATCCGCTACACCACCGCACATCCACGCGCACGGTCAAACGCACGAGTAATCGGGCACACGACTAGCTAGTCACACACACACGCAGTCATACCGAGTCATGGCACAGTGTCACGCAGTTATTTACACACACGCAAAGCCAAAGTCACATACACAAATGTTATCATCACGAACCAAGTAACCTGTCATCAAGCAATTTGGGGCCGTCCATAAATGACGTCACGCGATTTTGAACGATTTGACGCCCCCCCCCTCTAGTCACACAGCGTCACAAAAAGTCAGATCCCCCCCCCTCAAATATGACGTCACAAAGCTCTGCCCCTCACCCCCAAAACATGCTTCAAATCGCTTTAAACTATTATCATTGTAGTGCGTATTTAATGTGGCGCTGCACTCTGGTGTTGTAGGAGAAAACATTTATTTAAAAGTCTATTTAATTAAGTAGAACGTGTTGTCTATTTTTATTTAAAGTTGCGAATTTTGATGTGACGTCACATTTCTCACCCCCCCCATTCGTCACACATCGTCACGAATGTCTGATCCCCCCCCCCCCAGGTGCGTGACGACATTTATGGACGGCCCCTTAAGCAGGCATGCACTGATAGTCACACATACAGCAAGTCATGCGCACAGCTGCGGTCGCGCACGCAAACACGCACCAGCGGTCGTTGTCGGTATTGCATTTATACCGTAATGGGCTTCTTCCAACATCGGACGTGATCAATCCACTGCTGGATGAAGATCCTTCGATGGTGACCAATCCAAGCTGGTCCATGCAGACGAGGTGGCTGTTCGTGTTTGTTGCCGTCTCACATTCGTTACGTTGTATTAATATGATTTTCATTATTTCATGAATGGCAATGTTTTATATATTTGGGCTATTGTTGGTGTCATTGCATTACATTAGGTTTAATGATGCAATGCAGCAGAATCATATGATTATACTGTATTGTACTATGCTCCCAAAGTTATACGTTCTTCCCAGACTTCAACTACTAGGCCGTACAAGTTGACCAGAGTGGCGAAGTATGTTCAACCGCACCCTGGGCTGTCCCTCATCCAGCAGCGGAGTGTCCAAAAGGGACTGTATATACAACTGTGTGTGTACACTGTAAGGCAATTCATGCTTGGTACATCACTTAATCTTATTTGGGGACGTTTGTACGTTTTACACTGCGGTTGTGTTAAATTAATAATCACTTAAATGCTGGTATGGTATTGTATACATGTGTATGCTGTATTTACATATAATACGTATGCCAAGTTAACATCAATCATTGTGTACACTTGTATCAATGTTAATCTGTTCCAGAAACCTTAAACAGCCCGCCGGGGCCTAGTCGCAGACGCGGAGCCACGGCATTTGCCTGAGCGGCCGCGGCATTTGCCTGAGCGGCCCCGGCGGGAAGATCCCGCACCCAGTACCCTCCCGCCCCCGCAACCCCAACTGCGAACTCACGTAAAACTTGTAGAACTTGGAGAGGCGCGGCTTGCCGTGGTTATTGAACACGAGGATCGCTTTAATCATGGCGAGAGGCCGGGAGGAAACGAGAAGAATAGAGAAGGGGGAGAGCCTCAGGGAAGGCAGGCACGACGAGAGGGATGAGAGCGAGCGACGCACGGGTGGGTGCCAGGGCAGAGGTTTTACCTCCACTTTTGCCTTGCTCGTTTCCCAATCCCTCGAGCAGAGGCTGCAGCGCTCCACCCCCCCTACCCCTACCCCCCTACCCCTACCCCCCCTGCCCCCCCTGCCCTACCCCCCCTACCCCACAGCCCCCTCTCTATCTCTCCTCCCTGGCTCCTCCCCCCTCTCGCCGATACTGAATAGCCTCTTGTCGTCACAGCAGCCCTTTTGCCCACTTCAGCAATTGTTTCTTGCTGTGGTTGTCCCACCTGATGACGGTCGCTTGTGTTGCGCCCGAAACGTCGTGATTTAATTTATTTTATATCTACGTGACTTTACCGAAAGAACCAAAGAGTATGGTTTAACATGTAGTCATAGTGGGCTTTCGCGACCAATGTTATTCATAATACTTCCAATCTAGAATAATACATCCTTTTTTGGGGTTATATCGCGTAAATATAAACGTGTCGTTAATCCCACCACGACCATACAGAGCAAAATCAATAAGGTATGTCACGTAAACAAAACGTACCAATTAGTTGCTACTTCAGCACACCATTTATATTTTGGAGAGTAAACCCACAACATTTACAATTTGAGAAGTGACGTTTTGCCGGTAATTATTAGAACCAGCTTAATCAGCCGGTGGGCTGACGTAGTAACGAATTGGCACGCTTTATTTACATGACAAACCTTGCTGATTGGCTGAGTCGGGTGGTGGTGGGTTAACGACACATTTACGCGATCGAACCCAAAATGTATTTTATAGCATGGGTACCATGATTTTCGGATGAAATACAATTCGGAATTTTGGAATGTAATTGGGCAGTGGATTTACGTTTGGTGGAAATGTCCGTGAGTTAATAGATTAAGATAGATTGATCATGTATTCACAATCGATTAATGGAAATAATAGCAATCATACCAATACCCTCACCGCTACCTAACCTTAACTCCACTCCTAACACTGACCTTACACCTACCTCACACTAACCAAGCCCCTACCTAACACTAACTCTACCCCTATCCCTGCGGTAATGCTATCATTATTATTCCGCTTGTTTACCCAGGAAAGCCTCACCGAGTCTCAAGACTCCCATTTCAAGAGGGTCGTGCCAAGTTTCTTTGCAGTCAAGGAGAGGAGCAAATTTGCTGCTGCTGTGTGTAACTCCCATTGAGTAATTTGCATGGAATCTTTCAATATTTGGGATGTTTGGGGAAACACAACTTATGTGATTTTAATTTATGGTTAGTTACAATCAGTACTACTCTATTTTGCGATTACGAATGCAATAGAGTATATCATATTTGATTATTCGATTAAAATGAATGTGTCACATTTGCTCTGTGTGTATCAATTAACACCCTGGATACCCATTCAAATAGATGTTCCTTCTCTAGTCTGGGTTTATCCAGGTGTAGTGCCATAAGAGGGGAGGGGCTGCTGGGGGCTCTGGGATCCTAGGCAGTTAAGCCCTTGGCGCCAGGCGCTAGGATCCCAGGCAACCCAGACGCTTAAGCCCCTTGGCACCACCAACGGGGGGGCTGTGTGTGCTCTGTGGGATATCTGGGGGCGCACACAACCCCACCCCTCGTTGGGGACGAGGCATAAAAGGGCAGCTCCCTGGCCGATCGGGGCCAGTCGCAGCTCAAGACCCAAGACCCGCCAGCCAGCCAGCTTAGGACCCTGGACCCCCTCGTCCCGCTTGTCCTTGTAAGGGCCGGGACGCTGTGAGGGCCAGCGGTGGGACTCTGGGACTCCTGGCTCTACGTCCTTGTAAGGGCGAGTTTCGAGGAAGCCAGAGTCCAGACCCGCACCTTGGCTCGGTCGGGTCAATTAGCCTCCCCTAGGGTAATTGTAGCTGGAGGACCCCAGAGCGTAGCCAGAGTAGTGTATCTAGGCTGTGTACCTAGGCTGTGTACTTAGGCTGTAACAGAGTATCAGGACTGTTGGAGTGTTGTATTGTAATAAAGAAGTTACCTCTACAAGTGTCTCCGGAACCCATTACACAGGTAAAATATTGTAATAAATTTTTTTTTATATACATAGGATTTGACGACCAACATTTTTCATACTTGCTTTCTTTTCAATTAAATCGCCACGTAGGCATGTAAACACCCGGCAGAGACAATAAAATCAAGTTGTTACATGGACAAATGTGCCAATTGATTCATTTATTTTTTGTTCCAAAAAAACTGGAGGAATATTGACAATATTGTTATTTTTATTTTATGATAGAATATAGTATTACAAGTTTGCAGTCGATACCACATTGGGAAGTGGGTTAAGATTGAGTTACAATATTTGAGGATACGACAACAACAACAGAGTGAGTTCAGTAAAAGCGTGTAAAACAATGAATGAAGGAATGAACGCTGCACCTCGTGCGCTGTCAACACGCGTCTTGTGGGGGACGGGAGGTGCCGATTGGAACAGCACGTGCCACGTGGAATGGGGAGCGCGGTAGTGCAGCTCACGGCCACCAGCACCCAGTGCTAGCGATTATCTGAGCCGGTCCTGGGCCTCGACCTAGCTTTAGGGGTCGACTCAGCCTCAAATGAGTACCTGGTGCGGTGTGGAGTTAAATATCTCCACTGAGGGAGACGTAGGCAGTCGGCCGTGGTGCTGGCCACCCAATCCCTTGTGTGCCGCAGTGCCGGCATGCGTTAGGTGCCGCTCCCTAACAGCACTTGCCCAAGAAGAAAAATTAATTTGTTGAGCTATCATGTGGCCAGTTCGCTTCTGAAAAATAATTGAATACCTCGGACTTTGCCCTGGAAGGATGGAGACGGGTTAGTTGTATTTGTATGCATTTGGGATAATTATTTGTTTTACTTATCCTGTGGGGCCATCCATAAATGACGTTGCGCGATTTTAGACGATTTTTGACCCCCCCCCCCCCCCATTGTCACACGGCGTCACAAAAAGTCAGACCCCCCCTTCAAATAAGACGTCAAAAAGCTCTGCCCCCCCCCCCCCCAAAATATAAAACATGCTTCAAATCGCTTTAAACTATTATCATTGTAGTGCGTATTTGATGTGGCGCTGCACTCTGGTGTTGTAGGAGAAAACGTTTATTAAAAAGTATTTAATTAAGTGGAGCGTGTTGTCTATATTTATTTAAAGTTGCGCATTTTGATGTGACGTCACATTTCTCACCCCCAGCTCGTCACAAACGTCTGACCCCTCCCCCCTTAGGTGCGTGACGTCATTTATGGACAGCCCCTGTATATTCTGATTGATTCTGATGAGGCCCGCTCGCTCACTGCACTTGCCGCGAGAGGCTACACGGGCCAACTTTGCATTTGCCTTATTCGCAGTCACGTGCCCTGGGGGCGTGGCTTCTGGCCCCGGCTCGCGCGGTGCCTTGTGGGTACACGTTGAGCTTCGGTGACGTGCCACCCGAATCGATTAATGGCATTCTTAAAATTAAAGTAATCGATTAAAACGTAACACTATCTGCATTGCTTTCATCGCTTATTGTTACTTCTGACAAAATAAAAACGTATTTGAAAACCGTAATTTCCACCGTAATGTTCAACGTGGGCATTTGTTTAGGTGTCCGCAAACACAATTCACCGACCGCCGCGCGAGGATCGGATAAGGCGATTCCACGGTGGTGAATCGATTCCACGGTGGTGAATCGATTCCTTTTGGTGGTAGGACAGTCGACGTGGTTCCTCCGTCCATGTTGAGAGAGAGACGCCGGTGAGACGCAGGGAGACACGGAGAGGAGACACGGTGAGACGCAGGGAGACACGGAGAGGAGACACGGTGAGACGCAGGGAGACACGGAGAGGAGACACGGTGAGACGCAGGGAGACACCGGAGAGGAGACACGGAGAGACACAGGGAGACGCGGAGAGGAGACACGGAGGGGAGACAGGGAGACGCCCGCGAGACAATGCTGACCAAGTTCGAGACCAAGTCCGCCCGCGTCAAGGGTGAGTGCCGCGGACATTCGGGGGCCTGTCATGCGAATGTGGACATGTGTTCGTCGCAGACCTCTTTTCCGGACGAGCGCCAGTACGTTTGAGTAGTCTTGGGGGAGGGGCGGGGCTGGTCAGCGCAAGTTGGTGAAGGTGGTGAACGTAGAAGTATAGTACAGCAAATGGATCGTGTTGCACACTGGTCTATGCTGCTGCTGCTGCCTGCCACGTAGCGCCCGACATGGGAACGCGGAATTTCCACCAACTAGCTCGGTAGTGCTGAACTCTGCCCGCCTCGTATAAGTTCAAACCCAATATCAGCATCATCAGTCGAAACAAAATCACGAAACTGTATATTTTTATTTTACCAGCTAAGGCCAACTGAGCGATCGATATAGCTATTTTTCAAAAGCGACCTGGACACAAATGATAGCCCAACGAAGTGCCTTTTCACGTGGAAGTGTATAGCCGCCAAATAGCTCTAAACGCGTGATGTTCATTCTAAATGTGGAGGGAAAACCCGGAGGACCCGGAAAAAAATCTTTAAGCGACTACAAATATACAGCAGGCGTCAGGGTCGGAATCGAATCCACGATCTCCTGCATACCAGTTGGTCATCCACTGCTGGATGAAGGCCGCTAAGCCATGAGCTCATTTCGTCACCCCTACCTCCTGCGGTGAGACGGAGTCTCGGGCGTGTTTCCCTTCACACAGTTGGGAGCACGGGCGGTCTGCCAATCTCGACAATCTGGATCTATATACGCTCTTTGAAACTCTTTATTTTATCATGTAAGGCCCACTGAGCTCTTCTTCAGAAGGGACCTGGCCGCAAATAATAGCTCAACGACGTGGCTTATCATGTGAAAATTTATAGCAGCCAGATACTCTAAACGCACGTTTGTAAATGTGGAGGGGAAAATCGTAGGGAAGAGAGACACGCAAATTATAAATATACAGACGTCAGGTTGGGATCAAACTCATGGTCTCCTGCATACCAGGCGATGGAGTTAACATCTCAACACCACCGTGACCTGTTGCCAGCAGCGAGAGCTTTCCACATGACTTTTGATGGCCTCAACGTGCACCTAGC